TCCTTCCTGGGGGACGATATTGTAAGTACACCTGCTGACCAACTGCTACCTCTGGACAGTATACCCCACTCTCACGCTTGGCAACTCGGTCTGCTGCCTTCCTTTCAGCGTACTCCCGTGCCCGGGTATGAGCATCCTGAAGCCGCACCTTATGGACAGACAACCAGGCAGGCTCCTTCTCTTGCACTGGCCCCTGGCCCAACAAGGCATCTTACTGGTAAGTGTGGCTGCATACCAAACAGCATGTAGTAAGGGGAGTAACCAGAGGAGGTGTCACATTATAGGCGTACACCAGCTCAGGTAAGTACTCTGGCCATTTTTGTTTCTTGTCAGGTGACAAGGAACGCAAGAGGTCATGCAGAGTTCTGTTAAATCTCTCGCACTGTGCATTTCCTTGAGGGTGCGGGACTTTCTCACCCCATACAGTTTACAGAGCTCTGCAATAACGGCACTCTCGAAGTTCCTCCCCTGGTCTGAATGAAGACGCTGAGGTACACTGTACTTGAGGAACCATTCCTACAGAAGGACCTTAGCGGTAGTGTCCGCCTTCTGATTGTGGGTGGGGAATGCCTGGCTGAACTTAGTGAATACATCTGTCACAACCAGGACATTCTCCTGTCCATCCGACGCAGGTTCCAGTGTGGTGAAATCCATTGCGACCACTTCCAGTGGATGAGAAGCCAAGAATGGGGTCCAAGGTGCCTGAATCTTGGACTGCGGCATTTTGGCTAGCACGCACCGCAGGCACTCCTTCACCCACTTATCCACAGCATCATACATCCCAACCCAATAACAACGCTGCTTGAGCAGGGCCAGCGTCCTCTCCATGCCTTGATGCCCCATCTGGTCATGAACACTTCGCAACACCATTTCGACCAGACATGCAGGGAGCAGCAACTGTTGGCATTCCCCATTGAACACATCGTCAATCGTTCTGTACATCAGCCCTTCTTTCTCTTGGATCCTGTCCCACTGCTTAAGCAACAACCTCAACGGTCTGGGCAAATGCTTTCTCTCACGATTTGTGGGTTTCCTCGTCTTGTCCCAGAAACTCTTGAGCACACTGATGGTCGGATCTGTATCCTGAAACTGACGAAGCTCATCCTTTGCGTATCCAGGTAATGTTGGGGTATTCTCCATGGGTTCCTCTCCAGACTCTCTTTCCTCTATGGCTGCATGTAACTAGCCCTGCCAGGTCAACTTCCAGTGCAGTCCCTGTACGAAGCCCACTGCAAATAGCCACACAGCCATCGTACTCTGAATCCTCAGTTACCACCTCCATCGCCTCCAGTCCTGGTCTTCTAGAGAGAGCGTCAGCTGCAGTGTTATACCGCCCAGGGTAGTACTGGACTTCGAAATCAATATTGCAAGCTGTGCAGCCCACCTCTGTTCAATGGCACCCAGCTTAGCCGTGTTGAGGTGGCAGAGGGGATTGTTATCTGTTAGAACAGTACATTTGGATCCTAGCAGGTAACTCCTGAACTCCACAGCCCATTTGAGTGCCAGGAGCTCCAGCTTCATACTACTTTAGTTCCTGTAATTTCGCTCTGCGCCCCTCAACCTCCGGCTTGCATAGGTTATCACAGTCTTACTTCCCTCTTGCTGCTGGTATAACACAGCACCCAATCCCAGGTTAATGTCGTCGGTCTCCAGCACAAAAGGTAGGGTGAAGTCTGCGTAGCCTAGTGTCGGAGCACAGATAAGCTTCTCCTTGAGGTGCTCAAAGGCTTGTTGGCACTCCATTGTCCAAGAGTCCTTAAACAACTTGTTGGCCTGAGCAACACTCCCTTGGTGGACACAAGTGTTTACAACATCATGGAGCGGACCGGCCACCTTAGAGAAGCCCTCAATGAATCTCCGATAGTAACTGCAGAATCCTAAAAAGGATCGCAGCTCCTTTAGAGTGTTAGGGATTGGCCACTGTTTCACTGCACTCACTTTGTCTGGGTCTGTAGACACCCCTTGAGCAGATATCACATGCCCTAAGAACTTTACCTCGGACTGCAGGAAGTGGCATTTTTCCACCTTAACCTTGAGTCCGGCCTCCCTCAACCTTTGTAACACAGTCTCAAGCCTCACTAAGTGTCCCTCGAATGTACTTGAGTACACAAGCAAATCGTCCAAATAGACGAGTACCATTTGAAAGGCCAGGTCACTCATTATGGCCTGCATGAGACGTTGGAATGTCGCTGGCGCATTACATAGGCCAAACGGCATCCGCTGGTAATCATACAGGCCAAATGGTGTAATGAAAGCTGTTTTGTGGCGGTCCTTCTCACGAACTGCTACCTGGTGATAGCCACTCGCTAGGTCAATAGACGAGAACATCTTGGCCTTACTCAAAGCATCCAGACTCTCATCTATTCGTGGCAACGGGAATGCATCACGCCTAGTTTTACAGTTCAGCTTCCGTTAGTCCACGCATAGCCTAAGACTCCCGTCAGTCTTCCGGACTAACACCACCGGAGATGCATACGAACTGGAGCTGTCTTGGATGACACGCTTTTTGAGAAGTCCAGAGATATGGTCCTTCACCTCCTGGAATTGGTTTGGTGGTATACGTCGGTATGACTGTGAGACAGGAAGGTCATCGTTCAAGGGAATCTCATGCTTTACCAGTTCAGTATAACCGAGGTCTTCATCAGTGATGGCAAACATGTCCAGGTATCCCCTCAGAAGTGCCTTCAGCTCTGCCTGCTGTGCAGGGGTACAGCCGATCTGCACTTTCTCCAAGGGACACTGCAGGTCACTGCTAACCCCCGTCATTGACCTCTGGTTTACCATAACTTCCTCATGATCTGCAGAGATTCGATGGAATCTAACTTCGCAGGAGCTACTCTCAACACGACGACCCTGGCCAAGTACCCATAGTTTCACCTTGGGTGGCAACCACACACCTTCTGGGGACAAGTTTACTACCTGCACTGGGAATACCCGCCTACCGGGTGATACCAAGGTGGGAATCAGGACCAAGCCACTTGGCAATGATGCCTTACCTGGCTCAAACAACCTTAAGTTTCTGTTTTCAGCCAGTTCTTTATGTGCTCTGGCCTGAATTGTAGCCACTGAGGCTGCAGGTACGTACGACTTACGTGTGCCTGCTACCCGGACCACAGAGTTCGCTCCTACTGGGGCAGCCTCTTGCACTCGGTTAAGGGCGGCTATCCAGTCAGCATCCAACGTCCCCTCCAAAGCATTGTCAAACTCAGCTAGAATCAATTGTTTACACCGCTGTGCAATGTTCATGCCAAGTATGCCTGGGGGCGCTGAGTCAGTCTCCCCATCATTCTGGTCACGTATCACCAAGAACCCACACCCAGGTATAGTCAACCCCATTACTTGGATATCAAGTTCAACATACCCAAGGTAGGGAAGAGGCAACCCGTTGGCGGCAGTAATCTTTAACCACTTGCTTGTACAATGCATGTCTTTATCTTCCCCATGAAGATGTTTTTTTAAAGAAGCTCTCTGTCAAAGTACTCACGTTACTGCCAGTGTCTAACAGGCACTGGATGGCTACCCCCCCAGCGTGAATTTCCACTTCTGGGCACTTGCCCACTGCACGCTCCAGAAACCGCTAGCACAAAAGGTAGGGTGAAGTCTGCGTAGCCTAGTGTCGGAGCACAGATAAGCTTCTCCTTGAGGTGCTCAAAGGCTTGTTGGCACTCCATTGTCCAAGAGTCCTTAAACAACTTGTTGGCCTGAGCAACACTCCCTTGGTGGACACAAGTGTTTACAACATCATGGAGCGGACCGGCCACCTTAGAGAAGCCCTCAATGAATCTCCAATAGTAACTGCAGAATCCTAAAAAGGATCGCAGCTCCTTTAGAGTGTTAGGGATTGGCCACTGTTTCACTGCACTCACTTTGTCTGGGTCTGTAGACACCCCTTGAGCAGATACCACATGCCCTAAGAACTTTATCTCGGACTGCAGGAAGTGGCATTTTTCCACCTTAACCTTGAATCCGGCCTCCCTCAACCTTTGTAACACAGTCTCAAGCCTCACTAATGGCGCTTTTCCACTGCATGGTACGACTCGGCACGGCTCAGTACGGCACGGCACGGCTCGGCACGGTTTGCGTTTCCACTGCAGTTTAGTATCGCTTTAGAGTGGGCGGGATTATTCACATGTCGTTAGTTGCGCCACCTCTACTGCCGCGACTTCTGAAAATTTTTTTCATTCTGCTATCAACGAGAGGACCGTCTGTACTTCCACAACAGACAATTAAACTTTTTGGTTGTTAAAAAATGGTGCGCTCGTTCAAAACAGTTGCGTTCGATCCTTCGCTGGCTGTGCTGATTTAAATCTAGCAGTTCTTTTGTGTTTGTGTCGCAAGTTCAGTGACGCAGGTAGAGACTATTCTCTCCGGCCAATCAGTATTCAGCAGAGTTTACACGTCACGTTTTGGTAATGGTACGGCTCACTTGGAACCTCAACCGAGGTGGTACTAAAAAATGTACCAGGTAACAGGTACTGTACCCAGTGGAAAATCCCCCAAAAGTGAACCGTACCATGCCGTACGATGCAGTGGAAAAGTGCCATAAGTGTCCCTCGAATGTACTTGAGTACACAAGCAAATCGTCCAAATAGACGAGTACCATTTGAAAGACCAGGTCACTCATTATGGCCTGCATGAGATGTTGGAATGTCGCTGGCGCATTACATAGGCCAAACGGCATCCGCTGGTACTCATACAGGCCAAATGGTGTAATGAAAGCTGTTTTGTGGCGGTCCTTCTCATAAACTGCTACCTGGTGATAGCCACTTGCTAGGTCAATAGACGAGAACATCTTAGCCTTACTCAAAGCATCCAGACTCTCATCTATTTGTGGCAACGGGAATGCATCACGCCTAATTTTACAGTTCAGCTTCCGGTAGTCCACGCATAGCCAAAGACTCCCATCAGTCTTCTGGACTAACACCACTGGAGATGCATACGAACTGGAGCTTTCTTGGATGACATGCTTTTTGAGAAGTCCTTCAACTCCTGGAATTGGTTTGGTGGTATACGTCGGTATGACTGTGAGACAGAAAGGTCATCGTTCAAGGGAATCTCGTGCTTTACCAGTTCAGTATAATCGAGGTCTTCATCAGTGATGGCAAACACGTCCAGGTATCCCCTCAGAAGCACTTTCAGCTCTGCCTGCTATGCAGGGGTACCGCCGATCTGCACTTTCTCCAAGGGACACTGCAGGTCACCGCTAACCCCCGTCATTGACCTCTGGTTTACCATAACTTCCTCATGATCTGCAGAGATTCGATGGAATCTAACTTCGCAGGAGGTACTCTCAACACGACGACCCTGGGCAAGTACCCCTAGTTTCACCTTGGGTGGCAACCACCCACCTTCTGGGGACAAGTTTACTACCTGCACTGGGAATACCTGCCTACCGGGTGATACCAAGGTAGGAACCAGGACCAAGCCACCTGGCAATGATGCCTTACCTGGCTCAAACAACCTTAAGTCTCTGTTTTCAGCTAGTTCTTTATGTGTTCTGGCCTGAATTGTAGCCACTGAGGCTGCAGGTGCGTACGACTTACGTGTACCTGCTACCCGGACCACAGAGTTCGCTCCTACTGGGGTAGCCTCTTGCACTCGGGTAAGGGAGGCTCTCCAGTCAGCATCCAACGTCCCCTCCAAAGCATTGTCAAACTCAGCTTGAATCAGTTGTTTACACCGCTGTGCTATGTTCATGCCAAGTATGCCTGGGGGCGCTGAGTCAGTCTCCCCATCATTCTGGTCACGTATCACCAAGAACCCACACCCAGGTATAGTCAACCCCATTACTTGGATATCAAGTTCAACATACCCAAGGTAGGGAAGAGGCAACCCGTTGGCGGCAGTAATCTTTAACCACCTGCTTGTACAATGCATGTCTTTGTCGGTAGGGAAGAGGCAACCTGTTGGCGGCAGTAATCTTTTAACCACTTGCTTGTACAATACATGTGTTTGTCTTCCCCATGAAGATGTTTTTTAAAAAAGCTCTCTGTCAAAGTACTCACGTTACTGCCAGTGTCTAACAGGCTGGATGGCTACAACCGGATGGCTACCCCCCCAGCGTGAATTTCCACTTCTGGGCACTTGCCCACCGCACGCTCCAGAAACCGCTCTTTTGTCAATGTGCCAGTCTTTGAGTCATCGGTGCCACCTCTCATTGCTCGGCTCTTCGCAATGGAGGCGCACCGTTTCCCGGAACCGGAGACTCAGGCGTAGATGGCACAGGGTTTTCCTGGAAGGGCTGCCCAGTGCATTGCCTGACTATGTGCCCAATGCCCTCACATCTCAAACAAATGGGTTGGCCGTCTCGGGAATATCTTGGCTTAAACTTGGGCTTACTAGGTTTCTCACAAGTTGGGTCAGACCTCTGAATCGTGAGATCACGGACAGCGTTGGTAAGGTCACCGATTGCTTTCCCTTGTTGTGTAATTACCTCTTGTAGGGCTACAGTCAAGTCATTTGGTACAGTGGTTCGGAACACAATGTGGTGCTTGTTGCAGTGCAGCATTTAACCCTCTGGGGTCCGAGGGTGTTTTGGGGCCTGGAAAAATTTTGACATGCCCTGACATTTGTGCTTTTTTCAGTTGCTTACAAACATTTGAAAGACTAAAGTTTAATAACACTGTAATCAGCACAAACTGGGCTACAATAATATGTGTGCAGCATGTATGTACATGATGGTGTTTTTGAGAAAACAACGTTTATGCGTGCTTAGTGAAAAACTAAAATTTTAAAGTCACTGAAATAAGGCCTTAAAACACATACAGAACATTTGTTCACAAGACTTTTGAGAACTGGATCTTGAAGTCTAGAGTTTTTGCTTCAAAATTATTGCTTTGGAACACAATGTGGGGATTGTTGCAGTGCAGATGTTAACATCAATGACAGTGCATGTGAAAAATCACGAAAATCCTCACCGTCCAATTGTTTTCGCGCATAAAATTTGTGCAACAACTGGGAGGTGCTACGCTTTTCCCTGAAAGCTGCCCTCAAATATGAGAACAGGTCTTCTGCTGACTTATCTCCCCCCCCCCATACACAACCTGACTTCATCTAGTGCTGAACCCCTTAAGTGGGAGAGGATAAAATCTACCTGATCCTCAGTATTCAACCCCCTCACTCTTATAACCCTCCCCAGTTCCTCAATGAACTCATCAACATTTTGGCAGTCCTTACCTGGATCCCCACTGAAAGGTTTGTCAATTTGTCTCTCTCTTGGGATATACACATAGGATCTAGTATGAACATTAGTCATGTTAGCAAGAGCTGACATTACTTCATCATGTCTACGCCCCAACTCCAAGATCTGGGACTGAAGCTGTGAGACGGGGTTACCTCCCTCAATGTCCATTTCCGGCGCCGCAACACCTGCACCTTGAATGTCTTCTGCCATTGCGGCTGCTCCGTCCATGTCCTCAGCATCCATGACTTTGAGCCGTAGTCACAGAAAGTCTCAGTTCTCAAACAGTCAGTTCAACAAGCACTGTCCTCCTCGAAGTCCTCACACACAGCAGTCCTGCTACACTGGCCCTTTGTCCTGCTGCCGCTTCTGTCAGGATGGCACTGCAGGTCCTTCCAGCACTCAGTCGCCTTTCGCCACTACCGTTGTTTGCACCCTTCTACTTTTGCACTATCGTAACAAATAAAAATCAGCCCCAAACAAAAAGAAATCCCACTTCTGACACCAAAATTAGATGTGGCCGGCTTAACGTCCGGAAACTGGCACATGTGCGATCTCACATCCTTGTACTCCCCTCTTAACATTAATACACAACAATTAATGCATGTTCCTTCCATGCATGTGTTACACTGTATTATTTTACATTATAACAGTCTTCAAAACATATTTTAAATTAACTTACGCTCAATCTCCGTTGAAGTAGGCAATGTAATGTAATTGTAACTGCTGCTTCTATCGGCGCTATCTCTGTTCCTCTCTGACGCACACTCTCTCTCTTGTGTGCATGCTCAAACTCTTAAAGGAGACAGCACGCATAACTGCATCATAGCGAAAACTTAAAGGGGGACTCACCAGGGGAATTAAATATTGGACTATTCCTGCCCCGGTTACACTCTCCCCTGCCTACAGTCAACGTCCTCGATGACTTCTCAGTTCCCCTCTGACGCACACGCTCTCGTGCGCATACTCAAACTCAGCACGCATAACTGCATCATAGCAAACACTTAAAGGGGAAAAATCACCAGGGGAATTAAATATTGGGCTATTCCTGCCCTGGTTACATATATATATATATATATATATATATATAGTGTGTGTATATATATATATATATATATATATATATATATATACACCTTGCTATGTGTACTGCGTTAGGCTAACCGAGACTTGTCATTTGCACTTATATATTGTTGCTCTTTTGTTAGTTTTGACTGCCTTTATTGTACCTGTCAGGATGGCACTGCAGGTCCTTCCAGCACTCAGTCGCCTTTCGCCACTACCGTTGTTTGCACCCTTCTACTTTTGCACTATCGTAACAAATAAAAATCAGCCCCAAACAAAAAGAAATCCCACTTCTGACACCAAAATTAGATGTGGCCGGCTTAACGTCCTTTTAATATACTATGGAAAAAGACAATTCCAAGACACCTAATAAAAAAGGATTATATTATTCCTGACTGAGCCTCAAATGAGACTCAGCATTAATGTTTTAGTTTTTTTTTTCTCAGGATTCCGATCCAGTTGAACAAGAGAAGTCGTATAAAATAGAATAACAAAACAAACACCCAATTCACTTCAATGGGCACAGAAAACGAAATAAGGTAGTAGAAGAAATGTAAAGAATAAAAATAAGTTCTTTACAGTAATAACCCCTAATCAAAACACCAGATCACAAGCCCAATTTGACTTGAAATAATGCAACCAATGTTAAAGAACCAATAAAGGTGTGCAAAACAATGGCAGTGGCCTATATGTGCCTGATAAAACAGACAAAAACAAAAAACAACAGCATGAGCATACATGAACAATCTGCACATCTTGCCACATAAATGCACCACCCACATTATACACAGTTCACATTTTAACCTCTTTTAAACATATTAATCAGTAAATAGACTAAAGGTAACAGTATACATTTTATACAGGGTACAATACTTTTCATGCCATATACGTAAACACACTTTGGGAGAAATAAATGAAAAACTCACTCTTATATGAGCCTCTGGATTATCAATCACATGGAAACTGGCACATGTGCGATCTCACATCATTGTTCTCCCCTCTTAACAGTATAATACACAACAATTACTGCATGTTCCTTCCATACATGTATTACACTGTATTATTTTACATTATAACAGTCTTCAAAACATATTTTAAATTAACTTACGCTCAATCTCCGTTGAAGTAGGCCTGAATCCCCTCCCCCACCGGAGATCTCTCATGTGCAGCAACAAAACACTAATATAAACACTGAATTAAGTCATCCACTCTGTGCAGTCACACAACTGAAACCACCACAGGTCCACGAGTTGATAACCAGCCTGGATTATATCCGTTTAACAATTTTTTAACAACTATTTTCTCCTCACTTGTAACTGCTGCTTCTATCGGCGCGCTCTCAGTTCCTTGTAAAAGTGCATGTAGCATCCTATGACCCCTTTAAGAAATCATTGTAATATGCTGATTTATTATCAGAATTATCAGTGTTGGCAACAGTTGTGCTGCCAAATATGTTTAAAAAGTTAAAAAGAACAGCATTTATTCAAAATATAAATCTTTTCTAACAATATAAATATTTGCTATCACTTCTTTGAGCTGTAGTGTATATTGTTAGAAAAGATTTTATTTTAAACAAATGCTCTTCTTTTTAACTTTTATTCTTAACTTTTATTCATCAAAGAATCCTGAAAAAAAAGTATCACAGGTTACAAAAAAATATTAAGCAGCACAACAATTTCCAGCACTGATAATGAATCAACATATTAGAATGATTTCTGAAGGATCATGTGACACTGAAGACTGGAGTAATGATGCTGAAAATTCAGCTTTGCAAATGCAGCCTTGATGAGCATAAGAAACTCCTGTAAAAAAAAACATAAAAAATCGTTACATTAAAAAACTTTTGACTGGAAGTGTGTGTGTGTGTGTGTGTGTGTATATACACTGAACAAAATTATAAACGCAACACTTTTGTTTTTGCCCCCATTTGTCATGAGCTGAACTCAAAGATCTAAGACTTTTTCTATGTACACAAAAGGCCTATTTCTCTCAAATATTGTTCACATCATATTTAAATTCAAATTCACATTTAAATTCAATGTTTTTAAATTAAGTGTTTTTTTATTTATTTATTTATTTTAGGTTTTGTACAGCTGCTTGTGATGTAACACATTTTAGTTGTAATTTATTATAATAAGACGCGTTCATTATAAGATCAATAAAAGTAAACGGGGCCTGCTCGTTCTGCCTATAATATTGTATGTTTGAGGTTTGCTTTCCTTTTATTTTGTTTATTTATTTATTTATTTATTGCATTTGCAGCTTTTGACCATTGAGTGGCGCTTTAACAAACCCAAGTTATCAGGTGAACAAATTAAAGCACATTTCCCCTAGTAGCAGTCAGCTTCGACTTGCCAATGGGGGTTACATATGACAGGCGGCAGAAAATCTAAGAAAAACAATGTATTTAAAATAAGTAATATTCACAGAAGCAACTTTAGTACTTATGCACTTATGTGCATTTGTTATTTAGAACGAATTAAGCAGCATAAATGTCAGGCCTGTGAACCTGTGCTTATGTTTTCTCTGTGCTACACAGTACTACATGATATTTTAGATTTTTACACATTTAAGAGGTGTGCAGTATTATTTATATCATATAAATCATGTTATATTACCGTAAAAAAGAAACAGTGGTTTACTTTGCATCGAAGCCAGTTCAGATTTGCTAAATGTCAAAATTGTCACATTACTTAATACTTGTCACAAATACAAATGTTTGAAATGTTAAAATTTTGCTAATAAAACGGCATGCATTTTCAAATATTTTGTTATTCGTTATCAGTCCTTTATTTTGACAGAGAACTACATGATGTGGGTAAAAGAATTATGAATGTCCATGAATTAGGAAATCCTTGTGCTTTTTTTTTTATTATTAATTTTTTTCTTTATTTTAGTAAAAAACGTGAGCATGTTGTATTTAGCTAATAAAATGATGAAGTATAACATGAAAGTGTTTAATTGATGTGTTCGACACAAGTGTTCAACTGGTTTTATTGGATTTTTGAGCAGTGTGTTATGATTATCATCTATTTTATATTATCTAAACATTACCTGCTTAGGTAAAGCATACCTACCAACTATGAATGTGAGTGGAGCAGGAGTTACAGAGCTGTTTTATTCACTTGTTTATTGTTTTTGTTTTTTTGTGCTGCTTGGTTTTGTTTTGTTTCAAGAGAGACACGGCGGGCAGCGAGAGAGACAAAGAAACTGGCCGAAAGAGACCCAGCATGTCTGCAATGTCATACAAATCTGAACTGGCTACCATTATTTTGTTCCCATTATTTAACTAAAATAAGAAACAAATAATTAAAACTTGGCCACAGTTTAGCTAAAACAGTGAAACTGAAAAGAATGGTCAGATTAATCAAATGTCCTCACGTTTAAACCCACAAGTTCTCTCATTATAATCAACAAACGTCTCACTGTCGTTATTAGTCCTTCATAGATTCAGTCTTACATGTTTTCTGTAGCTTATTGTGAATATAAACCATCATTAATATAAACCATTTTGGACACCGCAAAGCTAAACTGCACGTTTATTTCTGTGTTTTGAAATGAATGTTGTGAATCCGGGGTTGTTCTCTGTAGTCATTCAGAGAAATGGGTCAAATCTCCACAGATGAGTTTGGCTGATCTTCAAAAGTCATTTTGACAAAAGGCTAACATGTATACTAACTTGTATTGACTAATTCAGGGTTTTTTTTTAACGAAATACACAAATGACAGACTTTAAAATCATATTTTGTATTCCACATTTTGCATCAAATCACACAGGGAATACAAACACTGAACTCTATATGAAAATCTGCAATAATAAGTTTAACTGTTCCCATGCAGAACTTAGCTTATAAAAACATAGTTCTGGGTTTTTTAGCTTGTTTACTGTACACCTTGTCACGTAGCAGCTTTTAGGCATTGCTCTGTTTATCGTTATAAGTCAGAAATGACGAGGAGGCAGCTTCCCGCAATAGAAAGTCAATGGTGAGCGTTGGATTGCCCCCCTCCTGTCTCTATAGTACATCGATGACGCGTCGGTGTCCATTAAATTACTCATGAGACTACGTGTTCTTATCCTATGAGAAGACGCTTCGCTTAATTATTCACAACAGCATGTGTTGATTTGCTATGCCAGACGTTTCAGACTGTGAGATGACATAGCGCACATTAACTGAGAGAAACGTTCATGGATCGAAGAAGAGTGTTTGTTTTTGCTTTGTAATAAGAGTTCGGCACAAACGCGGTATATTCACTTGGTGAGCATAACCGTTTTTACAGCTCTGTGACACAACCATTCAAAAGGCTTATATAAATGCCACAGAATAAGCCTTAAAAGTTCTCAGAGGTGCAACAGCGCGTTCATATATATGGTTTCGATGCAGAATGAGCGAAATGAAACTGTCTGAACACGAAGCTGTGTGTGTTATCTGTCTCCCCTCTTCCCCCTCCGCTGAGTCCACTCCGCTGTGCACCACGCCCACTTTTTTTTAGCATTTTTTAAAACTGTGGTGAGAACTAACCAGTGCTGAAACGGGGGGTTTCATGACCCTTTAAGTGTAATCTAAACATTCAAAGAAGTAGTCTAAAATAATGACTGGTTCTGTACAGTAAAAAGTAAGGAACACCTCAAGCACTGCCGTCACTGTAATATTTCATCGTAACTGTGGTCAAATAGCTGGAACATTAAACATTTATTTGATAAAAAAAATTTCTCTACTCACAAGTGAAAATGTCACCGTTCCAGCTTTATTGAGCAATGGTGTCAACCATCCATTTGAGTCACCTGGTGGTGATTTGGGTTGTATTTACATGTAGTGAATAATAGGCATTTCTTTTAAATGCATAGCGTTTTTGAGAGGAATGCGGAAACTTGAGCTGGCTTGAGCTCATGAGTCCTTATAGTCCACATCTGTGTGCCGCTGCTTCTTCCACTGTAAATCTATAATGGCGGCAATGGAATCTTGTGGGAGACTATGGGTGGTGAGATCATCAAGAACAAAGGCGATTTGGGGGCGGAAAATCCTGACTCTCATCACTTTGCAGTGAGGGCAGGATGATTTATCCAACACTGCTTTAGCATGGGCACAGACAGAGCAGGTGTCTGAAGGAAAAAGATTCTAAGGCACTGGCGTTCAGTGCCAGCCTGCATTCTGCGCATTTGAATGCCATTGGCTGATTCAATAAGGCTTCAGTCTTTTCGGAGAAAGGTGTTTCCTTTATAGCATCAGCTATTGACTCAATGTCAAGTTGAACCAAAATGAAAGGGAACTCCAAGACATTTACAATTACACACCCACCACAGATGATGTGTGCAAGTTAAAACAGATTTGTGTGTTTGTGTGTGTTTCTGTGTTTCAGGGAGGCTTAAATGACTATAAAACATTTCTTTAAATTATTTAGTAGATATCCGTTGAAATGCTTCATTTTGCATTCATAATATAATATATTTTAAGTCTAATAAAGAAATGATCTCAAAGGGGGATCCTTGGCATTAGAATTATGAAAATTATATGATTATGAAAACCGCTGATACAAACAGTCTTACAAAGTTACATCAAGGGTCAAATAAAATAGAAATAGCACCTCAAAGTTACAAGTTGCAATTGCATGAAGTAACCACTTTTTGTATGTATGCTGTACAGGTCTGGTAGAAGATGTTTTGCTTAGCAAGAAAAGAAAAGAGAGAGAACAATTTATCAATGTTTATTTTTTGTGTCAATACAATACATTACAATATATGCACATTTGTATTGCTTTGATAAGAGCTTGTCGTGCAAATAATTTAATCAGTGGAAAAAAGTTGTGTGTGTTTTTTCAGAAGCTCAAGCAGATCTTTGAAGAAGGATTGGAACTACAGAAAGCTCATCTGAGAGAGCAGCGTGCATATACTAAAGAACTGCGTCAGGAGAATTACCGCAAATACAAATATGAGATTGAGGACATGGAGAACTACTACAGAGACCAGGTAAAAACAGTATTTATTCATGTGTGTGTTAACATATTGTACAGATTGTCTTTAAAATTAGAAGAGGTCACATTGTTTGATAATGGACAGTGAGTATTTGCTCTTTGAAAGCAAGCAATGCTCAAGATCAAAGTAACAGTATATGTTGCAAAGTAGTTATTTTTGCAGGAAATTTAATCTAGAGTAACCATGTAGGAGGTCCTTTTAAGACTATTAGATTTTTGGACTATTTTGTAAGGTAAAAGCTTTACATTTTTAATGGCACTTTTAAAGGTGTCATGAACTGAGAAATCAAATTTCCCTTGATCTTTTGACATATAA